TATTATCTTATAAATAATTATATTAGAGTTATTAATATAATTATGATATTATTTGTTACAATATTATTATTATATTATATTATATTATAAGTCTGAATTTTGATTGGGAAGATTGTAAATTTTAAATTTCATTAGGGGTATTATGTGTATTATGAAAGTTTAATTAATTGTATTATGTTGATTTTTGCACAATTTAAAAGTTAAAGTTGTCTGTAAACTGTTTCTGATTTAGGCTGTAGATTCTTAAAAAAAATTTCAAAAAACACTTTTGAGAAAATTTATCAAATATTAAAATAAACTATTACTACAAACAAAAATTAATTTTGAGAAGGAAAAATAATACCAAAGTTAGTGTTGTCAAACGTGCCGTGCCGGGCCGGCACGGCACGCTTGACCCCAGGCCCATTACGGGCCTGGGCCGTGCCTGGCCTGAGATGAAAAACTCAGGCCTGGTCCAGGCCTTTTGCCCTAGTTCATAAGGGACAAGGCTAGGCCTGGGCCCAGGCCCTTCACGGGCCGGCCCTGGCCCTTGTATTTTTTTTTAAATTTAATTAAAAAAATATATCATATGCCCCAAAAGATGTGATTTTATTGAATTGATGTAATAGGAGTACACATAAATGACTACCTTGTTAAAAACCTTGCTAAGTAAAACCCGTGGGGAGATCGGGACAAAACCTTAGCGAAGGAAAAAAGAGTGCAGTAGCTAGCAATAGTAAATTACAAACCTAAGTGCTTCTAGAAGATTATGTTATTTCTAAGTTAGAAAAATATTCTTGTATCGAATCATATGTGTATTGTTGTTTTCGTCTTCTGGCATCTTCTCAGTCTTTAACACACATTAGTCCCTCCAAGATATCTGGATGCATTATGCTTCTCTTCTCGTCAAGAATTCGGTTGCTTGCGCTAAAAGCTTGCTCTGATGCTACCGTTGACACTGGAGTTGTAAGAATGTCACGAGCTATTATGGACAGTGTTGGAAAATGATCGGTCTTGCTCTTCCACCACTGTAAGATGTCTAGTTTGTTGTCATCGATTACAAAATTTGCTTCAAAATATTTGACTAGTTCCGTAGATGCTTGTGTTGAGGACGATCTCGCCGTTTTCTCTTTCTTCTTCAAGAAACTCCACGACGATCCTTTAGGCCCCGAACTGGTAGTTGATGATGAAGTTCCCTGTTCTTTTTGACCTGTGCTATATTTTGCTTCATACAAACTAAAAACTTTTTCTAACATTTTCTTAACGTCAATAATACTTAGTTGCATATCTATTCTAAATTCTCTGCGGTAGCAGTCATCAATGATTCAGTTCCATCTACTCCGCACCTAGGATCTAAAATGGTTGCTAATGCATATAACATGGGACAACCTGACCAATAACTTTTAAATTTATTTTCCATTAAGTTAACTATATTTTCAAAAAGTTATGTATCCCTATAATATGAAAATGTTTCTGAAATATTAAATAGTTGATGTAAAGCTAAATGTGCAGTAAGATAATAAACTCCAGAAAGTAATTCAGTAGCATTGTAAAAAACTTCTAGAAATTTTAAAAAATACTCAGCAATCTGTGCCAATTAGGATCGAAATTAAAATTTGATCGTTCTTACTGTTTACGTATGTCGTGATAAGCTGTGAATACGGGAGTACTGCCTTCAACATTAAATATGTTGAATTCCACCTATGTCTCACATCAGTTGGAAACTTTCTTGGGCATATATGATTGTTCCTGCAATATTATTTGAATTCTTAGAGCCGGGTTCCAGAACTAGATATGAATGATAATGATTCTCTAATATTTATAAGATTAGCTGAGATATGTTCAATTCCTGCCTAAACTACTAAATTAATTATGTGACATGAACACTGTTGATGAAAAATTTCCCCTCCAAATGCTGGTTTCAAACTACGTTTAAACAGATTAATTGCAGCTGTATTAGCTGACGCATTATCAAAAGTAATTGTTAAAACTTTATCTTCTATCCCATAAAACCCAAAATTTTCTATTATTGTATTAAAAATAGCTGATGCGTTATGAGGATATGGACATAAAAGAAAACCAATTATTCTTTTTTGTAAAACCCAATCGTCATCAACGTAGTGCGCTGTGACACATAAATATCCAGTTTTATTGCACCCCTCCCACATTTTAGAAGTGCAAGAGATAGTAGCATTAAAAGTCCTAAAATTATCAACAAGAGATTGTCTTATTGCATAAAAAACTTTCATGCAATCAGAACGAGTTGTGTTTCTACTTACCCGTTTAAATTGTGGACAAAAGGCTGTCTGGATGAATTCTTCGAACGAGGCATCATCTGCAAAAGAAAGAGGCAATTCGGCACTAGCTAGAAATTTAACTAGTGCCTCACGAGCACATTGTGCATCGTATGTAAAATTTTATAACTCCTGTGATGTGAGTGATATTGTTTGTTGGCGGGAGTCCACACTCCCACCTTGGTGCAACGGTAGACATACTTTTCAATGTCTATCTAGATGACTAGTACCCCCACCATTTTTATTAGAAAAGTGTTTTTTACAATATTTACATACCGTGTGAATTTCTATCTCACCTGTTTTTGGATTTGGTCAGGGCTCCTCGGTGAAATGCTGCCATGCCAGAGAAGTTCGCGGTCTTTTTCCTCTGCTGCGTTCTCCAACTTCCTCGTTGTGTACTGAAGCATTATCCACCGGAGCATTTTCTGGTTTAGTGGGGGTGGGGTTGGGAGGCATCATTTCATCCTCATAAAATGTCTCATCACCAAGCTCAGGAATAGTAAAATCAGGGAAGTTTGGAGCGGTCATTTTCTGAAAATTGATAAAACTTGATTGAACTTTGTAAATGAAAGAGCTAGAAAAATGAATGAACGCGAGAGAAAAACTTAGAATCAAAATCAAAGAGACAAATTGAGAGATAGAATGAGAGTGAGATGAGAAGTTGAGAGTGAATTGTTGTGTGGGATTTATGGTGGAATTAAGGGGTATTTATAGGGGATTTTGGGGTGAAATTTCAATTTTTTGCCGTTGGGCCCTTCACGGGCCCAACGTGCGGCATGTGACGGGCCTCCCGTTTGGCCCGTCACGTGCCGCCCGTTGGGCCCGCGAAGGGCCCCCTGGACTAAATGAAATGGGCTGTTTCATGGGCTGTTTCGCGGGCTTGGGCCGGGCCGAATTAGGGCTTGGGCTGGGCCGAACAAGGGCCGTGCCGCAGGCGTCCACGTACTTAGGCCGCGGGCTGAGAAGCTAAGGCCCAGCCCTAGCCCATTACACGTGCCGTGCTGGCACGGTCCGTAACAGTAGCGAACCGAGCCGTACCGAATCATGCACTATTACGGATTGGGCCGGACCGTCCATGGACAGCCCGGCCCATTTGACATCTCTATACCAAACTAAACCATAATTACATGGAAGCGGCAAAGAAATTGACATATTTTTGGGAAATAGTTTTTGCTGAGGTTAGAACGCGATTTTGACTTGTCCAAACCTGCTTGACTTCTGAACTTTATTTTGTATCATATCATCATCATTCAGGAAACTCCCAAAAACCAATAAAAAAAAGGAAAATAGAATTTTCAGAAGTTATTGTTGCGCGTGTTATGTGTATCGTTCAAGATAGTCTGCGCAATGGCAAGTGTCAGCACTTTTGTTTGTGTTGCTTCACGGTCACCGGGCCATTACCTTAATTACCATCACAGGCCACTTGGCCACGGACAAGTTTGGAAGACGCGGCCCCCACAAAGCGCACTTTTCATCACTATGTCCGCGATGCAAAATCATCACAGCCGTAACAGCCAAGTGACAATTGTAATTAATGCCCACCTCTGTTTAACAAATAATAATAAAAATCATCATCATCATAAAATGCTCACTTCTTATATAATAAACAATAATAATAGGGCCTACATATATCTTTAGTGATTTTATATTTATGGCATTGTATTTAGGATTAATTACATAAATATATTTTTGATTCAAAACAATTGCATAAATATACCTTTTCATTTTTCTTTTTCAATTTATCCATCTACTCTTAGAAACTATTAAGGTAAAGATAAACTCTAAATTTAAAAAAATTGTTTCAATCTAATTCCTCCTTCACTTGTTTCAATCTAATTCCTCCTTCACTTTTATAAAGAAAAGAATAAAAATACCCTAGGATAATTTTTGAAAATATTTTTAAGAAAATCATTATGTTTTTTCTAAAATAACACCATGATAACGAATCTCCTTATTTCAAAGAAATTATGATTTGTTTTAGGTCTTTCATGTTTTTCAATAATCAATTAAAGGATATTTTAGAAAAATATTTTCTATTTTATATCTTGTATTTTGAGTTTATTAAAAAATTCGCTTCATATTTTGAAAGTTCTTAAGATTGTATATTTGAATTTCAAATTCATATCAATTATGCGTCTTTTATTGACCAATAATTGATTTTGACACTTAAACTGACGAATTTAATATTTTAGCTCATAGATCACCCTGTAACAAAAAATGAATCACGCGTAATATTAAGAAAAATAATAAAAAATAATAAAAATTACATTGTCAATCTAAGTTTAGCTAAGTTTACAAAAGAGTAATTCTTAATCAATGTCTTATTATAAGTTTATCTATAAGCAAGAAATAATAGATGCATCAATTCATAGGTCAAAATCTAGAAAAGGTACAAATATAGTATAAATTTGAAGTTTAGAGGTATAATTTTGAGAATATTTAAGATACTAGTTACTTTTTTTGCTAAACTCAAAATCCTGAGTATAAAATCGAAAATATCCTAGCTTTTTATAAATAAAAGAATAAAAATACAGTCTCAAATCTAGAGGATACTTTTATAATTTTAATAAATAAAAGAATAAAAAAAAAACCATTACCTTTACTTTTTCTTGCGCAGACTCTTTCTCTCTCTCTCTCTTGGGTGAACAAAGACCAAAGCTTGATACTGGTTGACTCTCTCTCTCTCTCTCTCTCTCTCTCTCTCTCTCTCTCTCTCCATCTCTCCCTCGCATATAATCTTGTGTCTTACTTGGCCTTCAGACTTCAGCTCTCTGATAAGGCTTTCAAGTGCAAGAAGGCAAGAAAGAAAAATAGACACTTTGAATCCTCTAGCTGAGCCTCTGCTCTTGGTCTTCGTGGGTTGTTCTTTTGTTGGTAGAACCACCATTAAAGAAGCTTCTTTCTTTGTTTTGTCTTTTTCCGTGGGAATTCTCATCAGTTTTCGTCAGTAAAAGAACAAGCTTGATTGATGAGCGAAAGGAGGAGTAATATCATGAATTTGAGGGTTGGGTTTTGCTTTGCTGCGAAGTTTCTCTGGAGCTACTGTTTTCTCTTTACTTTTCTCATCTACGGAAGGGCTGCACGGGAAGATTCACTGAGGTCCCGACTTTCTGTTTGAATTTTCGACAAATTTTTGGAAAAATTCCTGTGAGGTCTTCGGAAGTGGACACACACACACATATTATATATATTGGGCAGAACAGAACATAACATCATTTGTTTAAGAATTTAGTTGTGGCTTCTCTCAATTACGGCCTTAAAGTGTGAGTCTGATAATCACGCATAGATATCAGAGGAAAAAAGGAAGCTTTCGATCAAAATTCTGCTTTCTGCCAACGGGTAAGTCTCAAAATTCTCGGTCCAGTTTTTTTCTTTCTTTTATTTTATTTTATTTTATTTGTTTTATAAATTATTGTCCAAGACCCAGCAAGTATGACTTTAATAGCAGATGGTCCCTAAGTCTTATTATGGGGTCTAGCGCAACTTAAGAATATTAGCTGTTACATATAATAAATGATAGGCAACAATAAAATTGCGTGTCCAGGGATTTTTAAGACGCGATTTTTTTTTTTTCAATGCACATGCATGAAACTTTGACAGTGAAAATGGCAATAGGTCCAAGTTGAATGACGATGGTAGGGTCCAAATCGAATGACAATCGGATCCAAGTTAAACTTATTCGAGTATAATGAACGTAACAAATCAATCATTGTTTAGTTTTGTTATATTCACTATTAATTTCTGACAATGAGTTTTCCATTAACTTGGTAGTTTTGATCTCAATGCTGTTCTTAAAATATTTCTTTTACAAGTTTTCTTCAGTGTGTTTCTTTTGGTAGATGTTTGATACTTCCCAGTTTTTTATTCTCTAATTAATGCTTTTATGTTTTGAATATATAGCTCTTTTCTTTGCACTTTATTCAGTTGTTCATCTCGCCATTTAGGGAAGTTTTATCTTTAAATTTTTTGCTATTGGTATAAAAAACATTATATTCTTTTGGTAATATGGATGTTACTTAGAAACACATGAAATTAACCATGCTTTTTCCGTTTGCTTTTTGAATGCTCAGAGCATAACATAATTCCATTCTGAATGGGGACTGATGTTGCTGAAGCTCTGGAGAGAGCAACAAATGTTCGGTCCTTTAAGGTACAATTGTGCCCCATTATTTTCGTGTCAGTTTGAATATTTTAACGTTGAGTGTACATTTATTTGAGAAGATAACTCTAGGTTCTCTACTGACTGATATAAAACCAGAGACCTAGATATCAATTGAATTGCAAATCTTATTATAAAATTTGCTCAACAAAATAGAGTGTGACCAAATGGTGTTTCTATAATTGGTTAGTGTGTAGTCACTTTACGAGAGAGAGGGGATATAATGATGTTAAAAATTTTAGAGATATTTTATGAAGAAGCTCAAACTTGACTCGTGTTTTATGTCTGTCTTTTCTTTTTCCCCTGTATGCTTAATTTCAGCTAGCTATCATTATCAGATTGTAACTATTGTAATTCATGGTCACAGGTTCATCGTCTTATATGCACAGAACTTATGAAATTAGTTGATAGAATTTCAAGGATTTTTCCAAAAATAGAAGCGGCAAGACCTCGATGCTCTACTGGGATTCAGGCTCTATGCATGTTAAACAAGGCAATTGAGAAAGCCAATCTACTTCTGCAATATTGCAGCGAGTCTAGTAAATTCTACCTGGTATGTTGGATGATTCGGCATAGAGATGGCAGATGTAACTAGATTTTACATTAATGTTATGTAACTAGATTACTTAGCTAGTTTTCCATCTAAATTTGTGGTGTTTTTAAATTACCCAGGCAGTAACCGGGGATGTGATACTTTCAAGATGTAAAAAAGCAAGGACCTTGTTGGAGCAAAGTTTATGCGAAATTCATGATATGGTTCCAGTTATGTTAGCTGTCGAGGTTGGTTAATCTATTTGCCTTGTCGATCTTCTTCTCTCTTTTCCTTTCTATTCTGACGCCCTCTTGAAGAGGTAGTCGCAACTTGCTTATAGTCCAAAAGCCTTGTCTTGCATCAGTACTTGTTATTGGTTTCTTCAATTTCAAATCAAGCACTAGAAGCATTGTTCTCTGTAAAGAAAAAGTTGAGATTGTATCATATAGTGGCTTGTGACGTGGATATATCCTACTTTTTCTGCAATAATTCTGCTGATGCATTGGATTTTCATAACTTGGAAATGAAACCTTATTTGTCTTTTTATTATTATTTTTTATTTTTTATTTTTTTTGGTCTTCACACCATTCAGAGTTTAAGCTATTATTTGGTAGAGTTGAACATGATATGTGATATGCAGATTTCTCAAATAGTTGATGATCTTACGTCAGCAACATTTGTCCTGGATCCATATGAAGAAGAGGCTGGGAGGGTTATACGACAATTGCTCCAGAAAGGTAATTCGGCATCAGATTCTGTGGAAAATTCTGATGTTAAAGCTCTTCAACTTGCAGCTTCAAGACTCCAAATCACGTCACCCAAGTCTTTGCTAATAGAGAAAAGATCTATTAGAAAGTTGCTGGATAAAATTGATGAGAATGATTCTACAAAAAAGAAGATATTAACCTACTTTTTGTATCTGTTTAAGAAGTATGGAAACTTAATTATCCCAGATCAGGTAGAAAGTTCCCCTGGTTGTTATCAAGGCTCGTATGGATTTCAGAGTTCTAGACATGGTTCTGCGAATAACCAATCTGGTGAAATGGAACCACATAATAGATACAATCAGTATGGTGCTCAAAGCAACATGTTAAGGAAAGCTGTGCCCCCTGAGGAATTTAGGTGTCCAATATCTTCCAGATTGATGTATGATCCTGTTGTCATCGCGTCCGGACAATCATATGAAAGGATGTGGATCCAGAGGTGGTTTGATGAGGGTCATGACACATGTCCAAAAACCAATATGAAATTGACACATATGTCATTGACTCCAAATATTGGCATGAAGGAGTTCATATCAAAGTGGTGTAAGCAGAATGGGGTCATGGTTTCGGACCCACATATGGAAACAGAAGCACTGCACTCATGGGATACTTCCACCACTTCCATTGCCAGCTTTGGAAGTTCAATGAATGACCTGCATCTGCCACTGGATTTCAGCAATATATCACTTGGATCCGTAGATGCTAGTTTCAGTTCAGATTGCTCTCGCACTAAGGAACCCAGTGGATTAAGTTTGGTACAGACCGATAATAGTTCCGATAGGTTTCAATCCAATGTTGATATAGCTGAGACGGATCTGGAATTTCTATCTAAACTTGGTGAGCTTACTTGGGAATCTCGGTGTAAGGTTGTTGAGGATGTCAAAAGCCATTTGAACAGCGATGATAATGGATGTTATTTTCTATCTTCTGAGAATTTCGTCGAACCACTTATAACCTTTTTAAGGGATGCGCGGGCCTCTAGTGATATTAAATCTCAGAGAGATGGATTTCAGTTGCTGTTGACATTTGTGACTAAAAACAGGTAATTTCATTTTTGCAGTTAATATGTCACAGAGTTGTGAAAGAAAAGGTTAAATTGTAAGTTACACAATTCCATGGTAGAAACATTATAATTTCATTTCCGAGGAGTCAGATCCTAGGTCACATGCTAAATTGCTAATTGACTTTCTACCGTGGTTTTGTATAACCACTGTGTCCGTCCATGTTAATGTCCTGTTTAATCTATGCATCTTTATAAATGGTCCGTGAGTTTTTTTTTATGTACTTTTTTGACACGTAATGCAGGAATGGAATACCCTATCTACGCGAAGATGCTTTTGATCTTTTAGCTTCCTTTCTCGATACTGAAGTAACTGGAGAAGTTTTAGCTGTCATGGAAATTTTGTCTGGCTACCCCTATTGTCGGCCTAAGATCGCAGCATCTGGTTCTCTTCCATACATTCTAAGAGCCCTAGACTCTCAGAGCACAGGTTTCCGAGAACAAGCCATAAAGATCTTGTATGACCTGTCTTCCAACCATGACATTTATTCGCAGATTGCATCTTTGGAGTGCATCCCAAAATTGGTCCCTTTGATTAGAGATAAAGAGTTTGTTGGGAAGTGTTTGTTTGTTATGAAAAACCTGTGTAATGCTGAAGAGGCTAGGGCTTCAGTTGCCGAAACTAGCGGATGCATTGCTTCTATTGCCGAAGTTCTCGATAATGGAAGTTCCGAGGAGCAAGAGTACGCAGTTGATATTCTCCTCTCTTTGTGTTCACAACGCATTGAATATTGTGAGTTGGTCATGGATGAGGGCGTAGTCCCTCCTCTTGTCAGCATATCTGTCAACGGGAATGACAGAGGCAAGGTGAGCGCATTAGAACTGCTCCGACAATTAAGAGATATTAGGCATGAGCCCGAACGCACTGCAGTTGATCTTGATGCTGCTAGGGACTCAAGCAACCATACTAATGACAAGAAATCATCCAAGGGTTCTGGATTTTTCAGAAGGAAAATGTCAGCGTTCTCGAAAAACGGTGCTAAAAAGAGATGAAACCTATGTCCTGAGTTTGTTTCGGATGATGGGGTCTGAAAATCCTCCTTGTGACCTTGGCAGCTTCAATCTGAAACGGATAGGATTATGTGGAATTATGTCTTAGCTGAAACCTTATCGGTTCATGATTTACTAAGTTGGTATATATTTTTTTTCATCATTAGGTTTGGCAATTTTATTGCTCTTTAATTATGCATGAATACAAAAGGGAAAACATGTATCGTTTAGTAGTGTTTGATGTCTCTTTGTATATAGTATTGGCATTTTAATCAGTTATGCAGTTGGCTGACTCAGTGGACTTGTCACATGATTTTGTAAAGTTAAGTATCTGCTTTCATATTTGTTTTTCCCGACTTTCTCTGGTAGTTCCTGAAAAAATGGATTACCAAAGTCTTTTATTTTTCAGCCGTTAGATATGTATTAAAATCTGTCTATTTTACGTATTTTTTTAATCTGATGTGATTTTGATAAGATTTAACAGTTCAAAATTAAAACTATCGGTAGAGCGGACTATTGAAGAAACTTCTTTGTTTTTCTATTAATGCGTGGATTTGTCCCATGATTTTCTAAATTGGAAGCTTTCACATGTGTGTGTATATATATATATATATATATATACTAGTTTAAAATTCTTTAGAGAAAGTTAATAGTGTTATCTATATTAAAGTCTTGTAAATATCTTTTCTATATAATATTAGGCGGAAACAAAAAAAAAAAAAGAGAAATAGTAAGAAGCAACAAAAATAAAGGACTAAAAAAACCAATTAAGCTTTAGTAGTATAGACAGATTTGAAATACGTAAGATATTTGCGAGACGGAACAAAAAGAAAAAGGTGAGAAAAAAATAAAACGTGGAAATAAAAAATATAAAAAAAAGAAAAGAAAAATAGTGAGAAGTAGTGCTGAAAGTTCGGGTAGCGGGTATGCCCGATACCCGAAAATTTTCGGCCGGGCACAGGCTCGAGTAGCCCGAAAATTTTCCATTCCGGCTGCCCACCGCAGGTGGAAAAGTCGACCTCGCCGCCCGCCATATTTTTTTTTTGAATTTTCCTGCATAACCCGAATTTGCCCGAAATTTTTTGACCGTTAGCCCGAATTTTGCCTGTTGCCTGAATATGCCCGAAATTTTTTGACCGTTAGCATTTTGAACCCAACGGCTCTTTTTGCCCGACTCGACCGCCACCTGAATTTTCAAACCCCAACGGTTATTTTTAAGGTTGTTGCCCGAATTTGTCCGAACCCGACCTGAATGCCCGAATTTCACATAGCCGTTGGAACCGAATTTTTGGGGTAACAAATTTTTTTTTCAAGCCAAAAAAATTTCTATAAATAACCCCCCCCCCCCCACCAATTTCTAAACAACCCCCCCCCCCCCCCAACCATTTTCCTCACTCAAAAACTCTCATTCTCTCAAATCTCTCTTAATCTCTCTCAAATCTCTCTTAATCTCGCTTAAATCTCTATCGATCTCTCTTAATCTCTCTCAAAGCGCTCTCAATCTCTCTTATTTTTCATAATGGCTTCTTCTGGTTATGGTAGTGATATTCCCATTGATGCCCAATTCAACATCAAAGAATGGAAATTTCCTAATGTTTTTCAAACGCAGGAATCGCAAACTACAGAAAGAGTTGTTGAGGAAACTGCAAATCCGAGCCCTGGTGAACGTACTAGAGGTCGTGAACGTAATGGTGGTGGCACTGGTGGGCGTGGAGGAGAGGCAAGCAGTAGTGCTAGTGCAAGTGTTGCAAGTTCTAAGAAGAAATGCAAGCGCACCTCAGCAGTTTGGGAGCACTTCAACACATTCGAGGAAATCGACAATAACGGTAACATTAAATACATAGCTCAATGCAAATATTGTGGTGATAAATTACAAGGTAACATTATTCACGGCACTACACACTTGAGAAGACACTATGAAAAGTGTCTTCAAAAGCAAGGAGGCGGACCCGATCTCCGCCAAACACAATTATCATTTGACTACCAAACCGGCGGTCTAACCACTTGGAAATACGATCCGCAAGTCGGTCGTATGGAAATGGCACGCTTAGTAGCCATATTAGATCAACCACTTAGTTTTACTGAATAAAGGAATTGACAACGTTATATTAAAATTGTACATAATCCTAATGCACAATTTTTTTCTAGAACTACTCTTAGGAAAGATGCATTAAAATTATATAAACAAGAAAAGGAAGCATTAATCAACCTTCTACACTCTACTAGTGGT